CTTTCAAACGGAGATTTTTGATTGTTCGCGCTGAGGCAGAACGTAGGACTACAAGCTGGTATTTTGATTGATTAGCAAATCTTAGAAAATATACCAAAATTTGACTGTCTTAAGTGACTTACTTCCACATTTCTGGTAACTGTAAACTTTTATAGAATTCCTCTAAAATTTGTGAACCACTTCAATGAATGCGTAGTATTTTAGTGGAAGGCATTACAAACCCAACAAACATTTTATTAAATTTTGAAAAGAGAATTTTAGAGTTGGGATTTAAATGGCAATAGAAAGGCCTATTATTCATCTTTTTATCTGCATCATTGTCAGAAATGCATGGTATTTCTATGGCTGATGAGGCTAAAGAGTATGTGTACAGTTTCCTCTTGTAATATTACATCTGACAAAAACTTAAACAGTGTATACCCATTGGGAGGAATAAATCTAAAACAGATATTTCGGAGAAAGGATTACAGCAGAATTTGGAAAAACTACAGCTGCTAAGAAACTGTGTCTTATAACTTCAAAGGCCAAAATTTCTGGCTACATCTAGAAATGCCAATAAGTTTCAGGTACTTTTTAAGAAGCAAGAACAGTGGAAAATAAATTTGAAGTATGAAATATAGTCTCCAGCGTTTGTCGTTATTATTTACAGTCTTATGCAGTTTAGTGAAACGAATTGAATGCTTGGAGATGACTTATTCAGAATGGCAAATTCTGGTAAAAAAAAGGTGCTTTGTCGAGGTAGCAAATGTTAAACTGGTCATTTTCTGTAAAGAACGAAACTGTCCGGTTTCAGTTATAATAAAGTACTATGTTAAAGACATTTTGAAAAGACCTAATAAAAATATGTTCACAATCAGAATTCCACCGACTTTTGGAATTATTCTAAAATTATGCAGTCTTTAGTATTTAAAATTAGATAACGCAATAAACAAAACGAATAAAAAATACGTAAAATAGATCCTTTAGGACAACAGACAACAATAAAAAGATATAAAAAATTTAGAGAGAAAAGGTTGCTTTTAAGTAACTTATGTCTGAATTTCAATTGAACGACAATTTACCTCATTCAGTGTAACTTTGAACTATTACAACTCTACTTAGTCATAACAGCACAGCTAACTAACTCGTTAAACAGTTTTACTTGTTTCAGAAATTTTAATTAGAATGCGTTTTAAAGTGTATTGTAATTATGTTAATAATACTTGCTGAGATGGCAGCAATTTACTACCTTCTTTGTCTTCTTTACTTCGAAAAGTAGTAAATAAATTGTACGCTCAAAGTGGAAATCGAATAGACGACAAGTGTCTTCTTTAAACCGTTCTATAGCACTAATCTGCTGAAGATCTCTGTTAAGTGAACTGATCATTTACAGCTTTGCTTACAGGAAATTAGCATAACAAATAATTTTTTTTCTCAACAGCATTTGAAAATATTTCATGTAACAAAAATCTGCATAAATTTTTTTGATTTCTACTTCCTTTAAGTTCTTCATGCCTCACTGAAAATCGTCTGTCTTCGTTATCTTTGTCTCTGCTCAAGTATCATTTCTGCAGCTTATAGGTCAATTTTTAAGCTTCGTTTGCTTTTGAAATTTCTTTCTCAATCTTTATACTTACTCGATAATCGAAAACTGAATGTTTTTTTTTATCTGTTTTTGTGTGGTATGCACTGACTGCCAAAATATCACTGCTGTTTTTAGTAACTACAAAAATGGCAATATTATCTGAAAATAAGCATTTAAGTAAAAACAAGAAAAAAAGCATATAAAAAAATGAAATTTATTTAGATCGTTTCTATTGAAGACCAAACCAAACCGGCATAATCTCAGTTAACTCGATGACAGAAATTAACTTTATCCTGATGTAAATCCGAATATTTAAACAAATATGTGAATGAATATACACAGGCACTTCCACTAACTCCTGCACTTAGTTTTTGAAGCAGGAAAAAATTCAATTAATTTTTTTGATACTTACTTGTTCCTTACTGAATTTCAAAAATTAAATGACCCGTTGGCCTAAAACAGTTAATTTCTTGAAATTTTTTCTTAAGCCTATTGTAATAAGCGGTTTTTTTTATCATGCGCTTTAGGATCACTTCAATATAAGAAGAAGTTCAGTGAAAACTTACAGAGCACTTATGTGAGCGATTTAGATGAATTTGCTATGGCATAGCAGAAAACGTTTGAAAAGTGGCTTTCAGGGCTTAAAAGTGATGATGATGGCATTAATGGCCAAGATTAATCTAGTCATCTGAAAACAATTTAGAGCAGAGCATCTTTTGAGGATTATCAATCATTCTCGACTAACAAGCATGATTCAAGACTGCAGCAGTGAATTTTTCTGCTACAAATTATATTTTTTATTTAGTGCAACATTTATAGCATCGTCTAACTCATAGAATTATTAGAATCAACTAAGGTGGTCACCAAAGGACAGTATCTGAAGGCAGCGTTTGAATTCAAAAGTATTCAGAAATTAACGGTAAAATTTAAACATGTTTTTATATGTATGTCTTTTTTTTTTCTTACATTTTTACCTATATTTAACACTTTTTAAAACTTGTTTTTTGTTTAAGGGTATTTTGGAAGTATAAATAGAACTGTTTCACAAACAATTTTTTTTTTTGATCAAAAAAAGGAAAATTTTTTTATAGAAAAAAAAAACTTGCAAATTCTTGACAAAATTTTATTGCAAAAAAAAAAATAACAATAATAAT